TTGTTTGTTTTTGTTTTTTTTTTAAATATATTTTATTGATTTTTTACAGAGAGGAAGGGAGAGAGATAGAGAGTTAGAAACATCGATGAGAGAGAAACATCGACCAGCTGCCTCCTGCACATCTCCCACTGGAGATGTGCCCGCAACCCAGGTACATGCCCTTGACCGGAATCGAACCTGGGACCTTTCAGTCTGCAGGCTGACGCTCTATCCACTGAGCCAAACCGGTTTTGGCAAGGCACATCTTTTTGGGGTCACCGTGGAGCACACTCACCATTATTTTGGAGGCTGTAAGGAATCCTTTGCACTCTAGGTGGCCCCCTGGGTGCTCTACATGGTCCCCTCACTTCACAGATGAAAGCACTCTCATGCCAAGCCTGGCCCAGCCCTTCTGGAGCACTGCCCATGGTGCCCCTGGAGGGTTGGCCAGCCTGTGCCAGGTTTGCATCCCCGTGGTTCCTCCAGCTGCTCTGCCTGGGCCCTGCCTCTGCTCTCCTCCTTGCCAACCAGCCTCTGCCTTTTTTCTTATTTTTCCAAATCCTCACCCAAAGATATATTTTTATTGATTTTTTTTCGAGAGTGAGGAAGAGAGAGAGAGAGAGAAACATCCATGTGAGAGAGAAACATTGATCGGCTGCCTCCTGTACCCACTCTGACTGGTGGGTGGAACCCACAACCTGAGTATGTGCCCTGACTGGGAACTGAACCCGTGACCTTTCAGTGCGCAGGACAAACACTCTAACCAACTAAGCCATACAGGCTGCCTTTTAAACCTCACGTGGGTTCTGGAGCAGGGCTTGTCTAGCAGAGGCAGGCGATGGTTCTCTCCCTCTGTGTCTGTTACCCCTTCTTATGAAACCCAGTCACTGATTAGGGCCCACTTCAATCCAGACTACCTCCCTGTACCTTGAGTACATCTGCAAGTATCTTCTTTCTGCCTGGCCGCTGTGGCTCAGTGGTTGAGCGTTAACCCATGAACCAGGAAGTCTCAGTCAGTTTGATTCCCAGTCAGCGCACATGCCCGATCCCCGGTGTGGGAAATGCAGGAGGCAGCCAGTCAATGATTCTCTCTCATCATGGATGTTTCTATCCCTCTCACCCTCTCCCTTCTTTTCTCTGAAATCAATACATATTTTTTAAAAATATATCTTCTTTCCAAATAAGATCACTCTCACAGGTGTCTGGGTCTAGGACATCAGCCTATCTTTTTGAGGAACACAGTTCACCCCACAACAGGAGCCACGTGTCCTGGGCCCTGCGACTCTGAGTCCATGGCCCTCACACCCTTCTTTATTTACAGTGACAGAGGCTGTCTGCTCCCTGACGGGTCAGCCTTGCTCTGCTCTTTCCCTGATTAACCTCCTGTGGACTCTCAGTGTTGTTACTAAGGCTTCATGCTGTCCTCTAAGTTTACTGGAAGCTTTGGTGGTTTCCCAGTTCCCTGTGGCCAGGCATGGACTCCCACCCACCCCGTGGTACAACCCCTGGAACCTCTAGGGGTCTCACCTCTCACCAGGTCCTGCTCAGCGGAAGTGGTGTATCCCCACATGACACCTCCCCTTCCCTTTCAGCTCTGATCAAGTACATACGGCCTGTCTTCGTGTCCCGGTCAGACCAGGATTCTCGCAGGAGGACCGTGGAGGAAATCAAGAGACGGGCGCAGTCAAATGGCAAGTGGCCACAGGTAACTGGGCCCTGCTTGCGTTTGAGTGGATTTTTTCCAGCACGTGTGAGCTTAAAGACTGACGGGAGAAGAAACAAAAGGGCCAGAACCTGCCTTCCGTGGGGGCTGGCTGTGTTTAGTTTCCTTTTATTTCTGATGAGTGTAAATCCAAGAATCTGCTAAATATCAGGTACTTTTGATTCTGGAATTTTAAAATTAAAAGAAAGAAGAAGAAACCATTCAGATTTGCATCTCAAGTTCCCACAATCGTCTTTATTGACAACAAATCTTTGTATAAGTTCTGAGTCAGAAAGAGCTGCTACCCGGTCCGCGGGGTCAACAGGACCTCGGTTCTGGGCAGAGCATTGGTCTATTAGGTGCCCACTGCTTCGGGGTCATGGGCTGAGCTTCCTGCGTGCATCTAGTTTCTGACCCAGGCCGTGAGGCGCAGGCCTCGGCTGCTGTTAGCCGTCGAAGTGTTTGACCCAAGCTGTAATTTTCTTCTTTTAAACTGTGCCGACATTCAGAAGCTGGAAATCCCACCAGACTCTGGGTTCTGGCTGCTCAGGAAACACAAGGGGGGCTGGCTCCCAGCACCTGTACCCATGGGCAGCCACTTGGAGTGGTTCCCTGGCTGCCACCCCTACCAGTGCAGGCCATTCCTGCCCCTCCTTCAGCTTACCTGCCAGACCCTCGGGGATGCCAGGGTTGGACCCCTGGTGGCTCTTTGTTACCTGGAGATGGTCTGCCCTTCAGGGACCAGAATTGAAAGCACCCACACAGGTGGTATTTTTCAGCTATGGGGAAGGTGTTACTGTGGATTCTGTTGGGGTTTCCACTTGCTGGCCAGCACCCCCATCCCCAGGGCCATTCCGAGTCCTGAGTCCTTTAGCCACACGCTCTCATCTGTGTGTCCCTGTCCCGCTCTGCCTCGGGACGCCTGCTCCCGCTGACAGCCTGCTCTGTGCAGTTGTGTCTGGTCCTCGAGGCAGCCAGGAGGCAGGGACCACAATTAGCATATGCAACTCCCTGGTCTAAGAAGGCACATGCTGTTGTCTACTTGCTTTGCTTCCAGATTTTAATAAATTTCATAGTTAGAGAAGAAATCAGCCTAATCTTCCAAAATGCATTTCACCTTGTTCAACTGAAAATGATTAAAGTATCTAAATTATGTCAGCAGTAGGGAAATAGATTGTGAAAATTGGCACCTGTGAATTCTGAATTATGTCCCTTTATTGCTGAACTCTTTTTTTCTCTTCTTTTTTTTATTTCAAGATAATGATTTTTCCAGAGGGAACTTGTACCAACAGGACCTGCCTAATTACCTTCAAACCTGGTATGTAGCTTTTTTTTTTCAATGTTTTTATTGATTCCAGAGAGAGAAAGGAAGCAGGAAGGAGGGATAGAATCATCGATCGGCTGCCTCCTGCACGCCCCCCACTGAGGATCGAGCCTACAACCTGGGCATGTGCCCTGATTGGGAATCGAACTGTGACCTCCTGGTTCATGGGTCAGCGCTCAATCACCGAGCCACACGGCCAGGCTGTAGTTTTCTTAATTATTTTTTTCTCCTTGAAAAAGTTGGGGAGACCCTCACTCCCACCAGTGCTTCCAGTTGTCCTATCAAAGTGCAGCTCAGCCTGGAGACACTCCTGTCTGCCTCCTGCCAGCAGGGCTGTGACCCTGGAATTCTCTGTATTTTCCACCAGCACAGATGGGGAGGGACCTTCCAGGCATTGGGTTGCTGCTGACCAGGAAAGCCTGGCAGGAAATCCTGTTTTATTCTGAGGCCAGCATGAGCCACGCAGGCACAGGACCTGCCGCCCTGGCAGTAAGACGGTTCCTGTGTCCCTTTTCTCTGCAGGTGCCTTCATCCCAGGAGTTCCTGTCCAGCCGGTGGTCCTGCGGTACCCAAATAAGCTGGTGAGTGTGTTCTGCGGATCTGTGTTCAGGCGGAGGCCCTGGGAGTGAGAACTGCGAAGTGTTTGAACACACGGGTTTTCCAGTCAACCCTGCTATGCCGAATATTCCCAAATATTCACGCACAGAATCGGGCCTTCATAGGTCAGGGAGTGGTCCTCCTCTCATGTGATCGATCCTGACATTTTCATGTCCCCCCTCTCTGCCCAGTGTCCTCAGCAGCTGTCACTGCCCAGTTCACACTCTAGGAAAATTTTAAATTAAGAATATTAAAGTTCTGAAAGGCTGGAGGCAGCAGGAGAGAAAGGAGTTAGGTGACTTTGTGGTTCATGTGCCTTTATCTTGCTTTTGTTGTGTGCAGAGGTTTTGTTTGTTGTAAGAGAACAAAATAAAAGAAGGGGTGTTTGGGGCTCAGAGCTCCCAGACAATCTTGATGGATCCCCAGCTCAGAGGCAGAGCTGGGACAAGACCTCAGAGCAGGTTCAGACAGGGCCCTGCTGGTCTGCGCGTCGACATCTGCAAAGCAGCCATGGCTGCCCCCTTCTCCCAGGTGCCCTGTGGGAGCGGTTTTCATGCTGGCTGCGTCTCACTTCTGTAACCCCGTCCGTGGGTGTCATCGCACCTTGATGGGCTGAGGGCCCTTGCAGCCGAGAGAGGTCCAAACACACTCGTGTCCCCGCCCTGCCTGGGCCCTGGACACATGGGAGTGGTTCTCCACGGAGGCACCTGAGGCAGATCTGCTCATAACACGGAGCTTTCTCTCCGTTGCAGTGTCTTTATGACAGCAAAGGAAGAAACCTACCAGCCAGGACGCAGTGGGCTCGGGAGTCCCTGGTATAGACGGTGCAGAATTACATGTGACATCTGGGCCAGGCCTTTAGGGTCTGAGATTTGCACACTGGGCCTAAGGGTATGGACAGGCGCAGTGGAGGCTCTCTGAGTGGCCACTAAATAAATGTCAGTCAGAACTGGTCGCCACGCAGACTGACAGATAAAATTCTCGCAGTGCAGCTGAAACTGAAGAGGTGTGTTTGTTCGTCAGTCTCTGCAAATAAGAGAATCTGTCATTGGTGTGTAGAATTCTAGATTTTCCATTTTTTTAGTTTGTCCCATGAACGTATTGTAAGCAAGGTTTCTTATAGGTTCCAGAGCGTGCAGCTTGGGTGTCAGAGGCACCTGCTTTGCCTGTTTGTGGCTCATGTCCTGTGTTCAGCTGCGTAGCCACAGGCATAGCCCACTGCTGGCAGGTTTGAGCACAGACCTGCACAGAGGGGGCCACATGGGTGGCAGGGAACCCCGTGCCAGGGGTTTTTGGAGCCTGTGAGAGGAGTGCATGGGTGTCAGGACTGCAGAAGGAAAAAGCCTCCATAGGTGACCTTTGTCAGGGTAGAAACAGGCACCTGTCCTCCAGTGTCCCACCTCGGTGACTGCTGAGGCTGAGAATGGAGAGGGTCAGAAATGCCCAGTGGGGCCCTGGCCTGGCACGGGAGTACGGGAGACATGGCTCTGCAGTTCTACCTCTACATAGCAGGCTTGTTCTACCTCTTCCCAAACCTGGGGCCAACCTGCTGGAGTTAGGGGTGCAGGCGGGTGTGGTGTTAGAATTTGGCTGGGTGTCACAGGCCCTCATGAGCAAGTCTGAGGGAGCAGATGGACAAAGTCTCCTTGTTGTCAATTGAGGTTGCCAGGGATACCTGGGGGGTAGGGGGGAGGGCAGGGAAAGGAGCTGGGAGGGGGTCTTAGGTGGTGAGCACCCACCTTCTTCTCTGCCCCAGAGTGGACTTGGGAGGATGAGGAGCTCAGCATCTGGAGTCAGAGGAAGGTTAGAATAAGGCCAGGGAGGAGGGCAGCAGAGGAAGTTAGAATAAGGGCAGGGAGGGAGGGACCCGTGTGGCATCCCCAGGAATTTCTGATGCCCAACTCCCAGTCATGTTTCATCCATTCATTTCTTGCCCCCAGGACACCATCACGTGGACGTGGCAAGGCCCCGGAGCGTAAGTCAGACATTGTGCTGTCTCATTTGTCCTGTCCTCCCGGGAAAGTGCTCCAGTTAATTTAGCAAATGTGAAACCTGAACACGTGACCCGCTGCTATTTGACAGCAGTTAGGTTCACCCTGTTGTGGAAACTGAATGTAAAAATCTGGTCTATCCTCACACCCTGGGTTCCGGGACTTAAGTTCATTGCCTTCAGCCCCACTGAGAAGATAATTGTGAGAACCTTTCTCTTCCCGCCTCACGTCTGTCAGCTCAGTGATTACCATCCTGTTCCTGGAAAAGACAGCAGACTTCCAGGGGCTGCCCTCCTCTTGCTCAGCTATTAGGGGGTTGGGGGCAGGGGAGGGTGGGAGGGTGGAACATGGGATCCAGGCACATTAGGCCTCCAGGGTGCTGCCATTTGAGCTGGTTTTTGGAAATGGAAGTGTGGGTGCTGAGGCCAAGCAAGAGCCCTCCCACGGCCCCCAGGCCTTGTCAAGTGTTTGGAACAGAATGCGTGGGAGGTGCCATGAGGAGCGGCATGTCCGAGTGGTGGTCCTCACATTTCTGAGGCTGGAGTGTGGGGGTGGGTGGTGAGAAGCTGGGAGAAGGGCTGGAAGGGGCTCCTGGTGGCCTAGGCTTGAGGCTGTCGATGAGGCCGAAGTGGGGTGTGTAAGAGTGTTACGAGGGGGACTGTGTATCCAGGGAGTAGTGAGCGAAGGCCCAGGGATGGGATTCTGGATGGCTCCCCATTTCCAACTTCTGCAAATAAAAATTTTAAAATGCTGGTTCTGAAGTCAGGAACTCTGGGAGCCAGGCATGGGGGTGGCATAAGCGAGGGCCTGTCCAGTCTGCGCTGCCGTGAGATGACTGGGTAGGGACTGGTGGGGCAAGGTTTCCTGAGCTGGAAGACAAACTTGAGAAGCAATGGCTTGCAGGGCATACTAAAGCTGCAGATATGGGCGTGTTTAATAAGAACAGTGAAGACCGCTATGTAATAAAAGTAGCCTTTTTTCTCACTGTTGTATTTTAAGATTTAGATTTAGGCTGAAGAAGGCTCAGCATCTGTCTCCTGAAGGAGAATTAACTGCCCAGTACTGCCCTCTGCAGGACAAGGGGGTTGAAGCTTTTGCTAAACAGAATCTTCTCACCGATGCTATAAATCTGTTTGTTTTTAAGGTTAGAAATCCTGTGGCTCACCCTGTGTCAGTTTCACAATCAAATTGAAATTGAGGTTTGTATAAATATAGTGTTACACAATGTTACATTGGGGTTATAAATACATTGTATCAAGGTCTTTTATAGATACAATGTTATGTTGTCTGTATAGATACAATGTTATATAGGTGTCTATGTGGATATAGTGTTAGTGGTATCTTGGGTTTTATATAGACACAATGTACATTGATATCTCTATAGACACCATGTTATGTCATCTGTCTCTTGGAACCCTTGCCATTTCTCATGGCTCCTTACTAGTAGAGGTGCTTCCCAGTAGTTTTGCATCAATCGCTTTGTGTCTCTTGGATGATTTTTAATCTATTCAGATACAATTTTTTAAATCAACAAGGAAGGTAACCCCATCATTCTTTTATTATGGTTAGTGCAGCTTAAGGCATATAAAATTGACACATATGCAATGAATAAATTTTTTAGCTTTATTTTTACTTGATACTAATACTGCTGAATTCACACTGCTAAATTTGTCATACTGTCATCCTCTCTTTGATGCTTGGTCAGATCATGTAGTCTGCCTTTCAGTTTGCATCCCACTGGATGTATCAGACAAAGTCACAACACCCATCCTCTCATCTAAATTAAATACAGCTGTATTTGTTCAACTTGTAAATTTAATCTGAGTGGATGAGGAATAGAGTTTATTTTCTTAAAAAGGGAATTACCAGGCTACTCCTGCACCTGAAAATTAAAGATGAGTCGTATGCAACTTAAGTATTTAATGAAACACTTTACTACCTTCCAATCAATTTTGCAGAGTAATACTGACTACAAATGAGCCGGCTTTCCGCCAGGTTTTTCATTTCAGTAGAATGTAAGCCACTTAATACTCAGGGCTGAGCCAAGGGTAGCAGGCCCACAGCTTAGGACATTTTATGTGGCTTGCCTGCTGGTGGCTCGGAGCACAATGGAGCCAGGCTCTGAGAAAGACAAGCTGGGCCTGCCCTGGGCCTCCTGGTAGAAACAGCTCTATTTCAGATCTGGCTTCTTATTGTAAGCATTGAAAAGAGGCTTCGTGGCTTGTGAAATCCCTCTAAACATAATTCCTGGTGTTTCTCCTCTGAGACGCTGGTGCTAATGTGCGGAACTGTTGCAATTTGCGTCCTTCTTTTCAATGTAGCTGTTAGCAAAGGGTTCAGTTATGAGAATTGATAGTATTTCGGGATATTCCTTGATTCTTAAATATTAGTGTTAAAGAAAACAGGCTCAATGGTGATTGTTTGCCTTTTCTGCATGGTAGGACTTACTTAAAACATTGGGTAGATGTCCAAAAGCTAATAATCTTTTACGTAGAAATAGTTTGTTGTGTTATCCTCAACACAAAACTGAGACCTTTAGAAATAAAAGCACACATGTCATTCTTTTACATCTAAAAACTAAGCCCCATGTGAAATTACAAATACAGTGTACCGGCCACAGCTGCGGTGTCCGGGGAGTGGGTACTCCTAGCGAGGAATGGCGAGTTGTGAATTTTCTCACACACACACGCGTGCGTGCACATATGTGCACGCAGGTATGTGCATGTGTACATGTGCACGTGTGACCACTTCAAAGGTGATTCTAGCGGGAAGTGCTTTGACAGATCTTAACTTTTTCAGACTCACAGTTGTCACTATAGTGGCATTGGTAAGGGGGGTGTCTTGTGATACTGTGCCAGTAACGCAGCCTTCTCTGTGTGCTCAGTTCCTTCCGGTGTACAACCCTTCAGAGGAGGAAAAGAAGGACCCCGCCCTGTATGCCAGCAATGTGCGACGCGTCATGGCCGAGTGAGTGCACCCTCTGTCTCCTCCTGGCCTCCTGATTTCCTTTCCCTAAGTATTACCCAGCACTCTTGTTTACCTGCTGTTTTCCTCCTCAGTGCTGCTAAAAACAAGAAGGCCAGTAGCTTTAGGAAGATGGGTTCTTGCAAAAGCTAGTGAACAGCATAGACTCGGCCTATTGGACATACACTTTATGTCTCCTGTTTTTGTCAAATGACATTTCTGCTTGTTCAGCATTTGGAAGATCCTTAAACATCACTTAGTTTCACTCATGTCAGGTGTGCCCATAGCCATCAGTCACCCAGGTGCCGCATGTGTGGGCGCCCCAGTGTGACGGGCAGCAGAGCTGTCAGTGAGAGCAATGGCCTCTGCAGGTTTCAGGGTCTGTCTGGGCTGGAATGTTCTCGAAGCTTCTCTCTCCATCTACCCACGCAGTGTTTATTAGTGTTCCTGCTCCATCTCACCAAGTTCAGTGTGGTAATTGTGCACCTAAGCTTGTACAGTAGCTCCTCCCACTTGTACGGCACCCGTGCCACAGTCAGGTGCTCACCTCCTATTTCTGGCCATTCCCAGCTTGTTCCAGGTAGTGGTAGTGTCAGCTCTTACACCTGCCCCTCTAACTGCCTTCATCCCTCCCATCCCGTCTTCTCCCCTCTCCTCCTCTCTCCTGTTCCAGGGCAGCAGGGGCTGCCTCTGACTTTGGCCACCTCGGTGCCTGCAGGGGGCTCAGCAGCTCAGCGGCTCTGACAGTGAGTGCCACTCGTTGGGGGTCCACGCGGCTGCAGAGGGGGCTTTAACAGTTGCTATTGCTGACCTGTGTGGCTTAGACTTCTAAGATAAAGCATTTCAGTATGCACATTGCACCCCACTTTAATGCATTCTGTAAGACTCCACTGAGCAAAATCATGCATCTCACCTCAACATACATGAATTAACACTCAGCAAGCTGTTCCGTCTTTGTCCACGGGCTCCTCAGGAAATTGGGCGCTAGGGATAGAGTGCAGTGAAACGCTCCTCCCCTTGCCTTGGGCTTCCCCGCCCTGCCCACCCCAAAACTCCCTCCTCTTTTCCCTCTCTGATTCACACTGGCCACCAGGATGTGCTTGATCCTCAACTTTGGGAAGTCAGGGTACTCAGTAACACCCTTGTTTAACCTCTTGTTAAAAAAAAAATAATGTCCATCCATAGGCAGGCTCAACAGGTTGGGTATAAATATTCTTAGTACACACTGAAATAAATTACCTGTTAACATTTTTAAAAATATGTATCCTAAAGAAACTGTCCATATTAATTCAAAGGAAGAGGACAGATAACCCATGGGTCACCCCCTCGCCTCAGCGGCTGCAGGAGAATTTCAGTGGGTTGTCACCTCCCTCATCTCTAGTTCTCACCTTCAAATGCACCTGGGAGGGGCCAGGATCCCCAGGGGCTCTGTGGACAGCCCCTCAGCCGGCCTCATCCCCCTTCCTGAGGAATAATTCTGGCTTCTGTCCCGCAAGAATTATACCTGAGTTTGTCAAGGAGAATGTCAGAGTCACTGTTTCCTTCTCATGTGATTGCAACAGGAGCTTTTATCAAATGACTGAAGCCCATTCAGTTGTTGGGGTGGGGAGAAGTTTAGTTTTCTATACTTGGTAGATTTCCTACCTCGAGTGTTTTCTTAAACAGGAAAGGTTATTTCTCATGAACCCTGATGCAGCTCTGAGAATGGCCAAGTTCTGACTCTCCCAGCTTCAGGGAGGTGTCAGCTCTGAGAAAAGCGATCCCTGGTCACTTGTGAAGAATTGAGCTTCTCCATAAAACACCCCGTGGGGTGGTGGTGTCGTCTTTCAGGCCCAAGTGCATGGTTGTTTCCTAGTGGGGTGCAAACTTGGGCAGCCCAAGTTCTAAGTAATTGAAATTTAGGGTCAGCTATTAGGCATTTATGTTTAGTACTAAACATGACCTTCCCGCATTGCCCTTCTGTGCATCTCGGTGTTCAGAGTCCTCCCTCACGTACTAATCGCTGTGTGAGGAGGGTACCCCAGGGGCTCAGAGCAGGGTGCAGGACACGCATGCAGCACTGCCTCTGCCAGGGTGTCTGCCATCGGAGCAGACTCAGAGAGACCACAGGGGCTCCTGTGACTTGGGACCGTTGCCGTGCAGGGCGCTCACGGCAGGGCCTCCTCTCTGCTGCAGGGCCCTGGGCGTCTCGGTGACCGACTATACCTTTGAGGACTGCCAGCTGGCCCTGGCGGAAGGACAGCTTCGGCTCCCTGCAGACACCTGCCTTCTGGAATTCGCCAGGCTGGTGCGGGGCCTGGGGTGAGTGCCTGGGTTTTTTTACTCATGATCAGTTCGTCAGAAAGGGCACTCCCTCGAATGCTGTGACAAGCGTTGGGGCTGTGATGTGTGACAGGGCAGGTGCGATGTGTTCAGCAGTGAGGAACAGCTTTGTGCTGGACCAAAACTCCAGGCAGAACCTCGCAGGGGCCTCCGCCCTGCAGGTGTTGGGGACCAAGCTGGAGGTCGCAGCTGTGCCTGGGGCTGCCCGATGTCACTCGAGACAGGGCATCAAGGAGAGCTGGAGTGCTTGTTCTGGCAGTCCGGTTATTTTCCTCTTTTCTATGCCAACTTCAGCCCACACTGAAGTGCCAAAAAGCCCCTCATGGCTGGTGCCACGCTCTCTGGAGCTGCCCCCGGAGGACGTCCTGCTCACAGGCCGCCCACCAAGGGGTGCACATACTTAGGCAGAGCATTGCGTGCCTTCAGGTTATTAGAAGCCTGTTCTTGAAAACTAGCAGCTTGGTCTATAAATCATGTTAATAATTTGTTGGGTCTTAAAACAGTAAGCCTCCTATTTTTGGCATTCTGTGATTTTATTGAAAAAAGAACTTTTCCTCTCTTTTTATTTAGCCTAAAACCAGAAAAACTTGAAAAAGATCTGAATAGATATGCGGAAAGTGCTGGGATGAAGAGGGGGGCAAAGATCAACGTCTCAGAGTTTGCGGCTTACCTGGAAGTGCCTGTCTCCGACCCGCTGGCCGACATGTTCTCCCTGTTTGACGAGGTAGCACATCACCCAGTGGGGGTGGCAAAACCTTTGGCTTCAAAGTATACATTGTTTTCCTTGTAATATAAACATTCTGTAGATAGTTTTGGAAGTAGAGAAGGAAAAACCACCCCTCAGTGGCCCCATCCTACCAGCCTACCCTGTCCTCGGGAGTATTTTCTCCCATGGTTTTAAATGCACAAAGAATCTGACATTTCAGTTAGCATGTGCTGATAAACATGTCTGTAGTTTGGGTTTCCTTAGATCAGATCACTAAAAGGCTGAGTGATATCACACAGCAATGCTGGCCTAGCCCCTGCCGTGTCCCTTCCCAGAGGCCTCCACTGACCAGCCCAGCCAGGCCTTCAGAATTTCTAAGCATGGCCTCTTTCTGGATGCTCGGCTTAGTCGTTCCCCATCGCCTCTGTCTAAAGCTTGGGGGTCTCCCCCTGGAGAGCAACCCCTCCCCTCTCCACCACACACATCATAATCGGTCGTATGTGCTGGCTGCACAGAGTCAACACGTCACTGCAGCTCTGGGAATGGGGGTGGCCTTTCATGTTTGGGAGCCGGGGAGACAGAGAACCAGGAGGGCAGGCTGCCATGTAGCCAGAAACCACCCATGCCTGGTCATTCTGGACGTTTGAATCGCAGTGCAGACCCCTGTGCGGTACGTCCTGTAGGAGCAGTCAACGTGGCACAGTGTGTGTGAAGGGGCTCCTTCAGCCATGAATGTTCCCTGTGAAAAACGTAGTATGTTGTGTGAATAATGGAGCATGTTGCATGTGGACAACAGTGTGTTCGGTGTGAACACTTAGAATTTCATGTGTGTGCAACACAGCATGTTCTGTGTGACAACGTTGCATGTTCTGTGTGGCCACAAGGTGCAGCATGGTGGAACTCGAAGAAGCTGGTGAGTGATTTGGGCTTTAGAGACCCCATGAGTGTGCAGGTTTGTGGCACCACAGTGTGCAGTTGAGCAGGCAGCCCATCTGGGCGACCCCTGGTGTAAAGCAGCTGTGGGGTGGATTTGTGGCTACATCTCACTCGGGCGCTGTGGCAACAGGTCAGGTATGAAATACAAGAGTGAGCATGGTTTCAGCTGGTGACATCCTGGTGATGCGTTATCATCACTGAGCACCAGACATCTTGCCACAGTGTGTGGGTTCATTTTTATTTTTCACAGTGTTCTTACAAGGTAGGAATATCCTCCATTTCACAGAGAGCCTCAGACCCAAGATTAAGCACCTTCCCAGAGTCAGGGGCATAGGCAGACCCAGTGTGCTCGGCCTGCGTGGTGTCATCACCTTGGGCTCACCTTTGATTTGCACGCTCACTGTGTGGTCACTAGCAGGCTAGGTTTCAGAGCCCAGAAGTGAGCCTCGTTGTGGGCAGGTCTGTTTTTCTGGAAGGCAGGCAACAGTCATCATGCTGCACATACTTTCCTGCGCACCTTCATGTGACAGTCACCCTGAAGATTCATTCTAGCAGCCTAAAGAATGGAGAAGCCAGTGGTTAGGAGCGTTCTTCAGATGCTCTTTCCATGTAGACACATGATCTCAAGTTTGTGTGAAAATAACCTTGTGTTGACACTCAGCAGCCAGTGCTGAACCCCAGCTCCCTGGGAGGTGGCCGGACTGCCCCTGACAGAGCGTCTCTCTTTCGCAGAGCGGGAGCGGCGAGATGGACCCTCGGGAGTACGTGGTCGCCTTGTCTGTCGTCTGCCGGCCTGCTCAGACCCTGGACACCATACAGCTGGCCTTCAAGGCAAGTGTGGGGTTCACATGAGTTTAATTTATGGGGACAGTGAGACGTGGGTTACAGGTGGAGCACACCTGTAGGTGGGAGGGCGGATCACGCTAAGGGGCTCAGCACTCCCTAGGGCAGCACGCTGGTTCTGGCCATGCTGCCAGGTGGGTTAGGGCCTCCGGGAGGAGGAACAGGCCATTCTGGGCAGGCAGTGGGCCTGGCGGGGCCAGAGGATGGAGGAGGAGACCTCGGGGTGACACCGGCCTTGCTTTGCAGATGTACGGGTCTCAGGAGGATGGTAGCATAGACGAGGATGCCCTGTCCAGCATCCTCAAGACGGCATTAGGGGTGGCAGAACTCACCGTGACCGACCTCTTTCGGGCCATCGACCAGGAGGAGAAGGGGAGGATCACGTTTGGTGAGAGGCCCGGGAGCAGGGAGGGTGGCCCACTGGTGCCAGAAGTGAGGACACACATGGAGCCCCCACCCACCTGTGCTTGTCAGGCCACCCTGTGTCTTCTGCAACAGAGATTTTCAGGAGGAAGGTTCTTCCTAAAACCTGGCCAGGAAGGGTGGGAGCTTTCAAATCTGACTTCTGCAGGCGATGAATAGAGCCAAATTCCAAGCCCAGTAGACCTGGGGCCAGGATGAACGTCGTCCTGGGGGCTGTGGGCACGTGTGCCAGGCCAGGGCAGGGCCTCTGCCATCAGGGCTCAGTGCAGGAGCGAGTCACCTGCCCTGAGGACTCTGCTGGACAGCTCCTCTCTGGAAGGTTTGGCTTCATCACCTGTGGCTGCACAGAGCAGGCTGGCCCGGATCCTGGGGGGCCAGCACCTGAAACCCGCCTGTGGCTGGGGGGCTGGGCAGTAGGATCTCGGAAGGCGTTCTGCTCAGGGCACTGGCCAGAGTGCGCATTTCACAATGAGTAAGTGTTCTTGCTGAAAAACTAGCAGACATTTGCTCAAGAAAGGTCATCGTGCACGTCTTGTTTGGACATGTTTTAAAATTGCATCCAAATGTCAGGCATGGGTGTGGGGTGGGAGGTGGTTGTTGTGTGTGTGTGTGTGTGTGTGTGTGTGTGACGGGTGTGGGGTGGGAAGTGGTTGTTTGTGTGTGTGTGTGTGTGTGTATCTGCATTAAAGTAGGCCCTGCTTCCTACTTTGGGGGTTGTTGGTGAGGTTGGTGATGAGCCTGACCAACTGCAGACTTTTCCAGTAAAAGCCGTTCCAGGTTTCCTACAAGGAGACATGGATGACCCTGGAGCCTGCAGGCTCCTACACCCAAGGCCTCTGAGCATCACCTGCTCTCAGGATGCCTGAATGCAAGCCTGAGGGTGCTCTACACTCAACACCAGCCCTGACCACTGGGAGATGCACAGGCAGGGAGGCATTCAGGCCCTGTGACCAGCTTGCAGGGTGACCCTCCATGCACCCATGGTCTCCCCAGTGCTCAGACAGACATCCATCAGTAGCACCTGCCTCATGGCGTATCAGTCACCACACGGACGCTCGTCCTGTCCCTGAACCAGCTCTTGTGATGAGCAGCACCTCCCTCACATGCACTGAGTCCCCAGAGTGCCCAGAATTGTGCCATTTCTTTAGCTTTCCCCCAAGCAAGAGTAACTGAGAGGATACAGTGGCTGCCCCTTTGCTTTTGCTATGATTTGTGCGCAGCAGAGAAAAACTGAGTGTGGGTCTTTTCCTCACCTCCAAGACCATGATCATAGACCCCACCCCTGCCAGAGCGGTGGGGGGAGGGGG